TAGGTTTGTTTTAGGAAACAAAACTACTTCAGATCAATCACTGTCAACCCTAGAACAAATGTGTTGATGTGGTAGTACTTTCTACTAGCCTACAGATTTTGAACTTGGTTACAACCTTGAAGTCTTTCCAGACTTCAGTCTGTATTCTGCAGGGGCCTAGTAGAAAGAAGTTGCACATCCTGGGGTTGGCTCTGCAGGCCACGGTTTGTATAAAAGCGTTGAACTTAACCCAAATTCTAATTATCTGATAGCTAATGATCAAAAACAATAAAACATCTTTTAGTTACGCATTTCTAACTACAGATAAACATGTAAATAATCAACACAGGTGACCTCAGTGCATCAGGAAGTCGGTTGTCTAATGACAGACATATCAGGTTCTTTTACTTGGATGGCTGCGGTTGCTTGGATTGGTTGCTTGGTTGAGTTTGGTTTTGGTTGGTTTTGATTTTGTTTTTAATGTCCAAAATAGGAGTCATTTTTACAAATGGAAAATACCTTCCTGGCTAAAATTATGGCAACTCTGTTTTGTTTTGTTTTTATTGGCTGACCAGATTTTGTTCTAAAAACCCAACTGCACTGGGAGATAGTAGCCCACAGAGATTAGGAGTCAGGAGCCATGGGTGGGAACTCCAGCTTTACCACTGAACTGTTTCCTATTTTTGAATGACGAGGATAAGCAAGCATCTGCTCAAGGGCTAAGTATAAGATAATCTGCAGGAAATTTATAGCCCAGCGCCTGAACACAGTTATTGCTCAAAAACGATAGCTATTGTTAGAGACATTGTTGTTTTCATGATCATTTCTTTCTTAGTAGAATTTTGGCTCTGACTTAGACTATTCCTTTAGGTTGCCTCTTGGTAGAGGAGGTTTAGCCTTATGTTAGGAGCATTTTCTTGTTAAGCTGATGACTAGGCACATACAAATATATCTTACTCCCAGCCTGTCTCTTGTTAGATCACACGTGTGGACGTTTGGTCAGTCACAGAGAGGAGGAGAGCTACAAGGCATATAAATTCAAATGCCAACCTCTCAAAAATGCTACTGAGGGGAGTAATATTTACAGATCTTCTTGAGTTATTTTTAAGCCATCCACCCCTGTAGAAACTCTCAAATTTATTCCCAATTCAAGCGAAACTCTCCAAAAATACATGTACCTGAAAAACATGATGTA